AGAACTGTTTAAATCTAGTGTCGTGGCTTCTCTATATAGTCCAATAGTGGCACCTAGGGCTCATGTATTAACTATTATGATTGTAAGTTGTGATTTGGAGCTTAGCGTATTTTCTAGGGCTGAGTATTGGGTATGGGTATATCTAATATTTGTGGGTACTTGACTTGTTTGAGTAGGTATTTTACTTATACATGTTAAATATCAAGTATGAAAAATGCAAACTTATTAGGTATAGGATAAGTATTGGGTATGAAGTTCAATATCTGCATAACTAATCTGTATATCTGACCCATATACCTCACTTATATATCTGACCCATGTATCTAACCTATATTCTAGTTTTATATGATTAATTTGTAATATAATGTTATGAAATTAAAATGTTTATGGTTTTTTTTTTTCTTTTCTTCTACCAGTGAAGATTCAACTGAAGGAAAATTATGTAAATTTTTATTTGTATTTTTTTTGTTATTGTATATATAAACTTGTGTATGTGTAAGTGTATATGCTCACGTATTTTGTTTTGTATATAAACTTGTATTAAATGTATGAACTTGTAGTTATATATTAGCTTATGTATTTTTAGTGTAAAATTTAATAAGTATACAAATATACCTGTGAATATACCTGTACTGAACAAGTTGAGTAATGTGTATAAATTTTCAATACCCAAGTAAGCACCGGATATTGAAATTCTATACTTATCACGATTCAAGTCAAGTACAGATATAAGCAAATACTTGACCCATACCTACCTATGCTCACCCCTAGTATTTTCTATTACGAACCCCAAAGAGGCGCCCAGCCAATGGCTTGATGACTCTAATAAGATACTGTTAGTTTAGTGTGTTATAATTTGATTTTGATTAGGTATTATAAAATTAGTTTTTTATAAATTCAATTTTAAATTTTGAATGACAAAATTGGAAATTAATTGGGTAAAAAGAAATAAAATGAAATAAATTGGACTTGATTGCAAGGAGCTATAAAACTTTGAAATTGGGAATTGCTTGCAGGTCTAAATTAATGAACTTAGGAGTCATGAGACCAAAACGTTAAGCTTGAGAAACCAGAAGTACTAAAGAAAAAAAAGTTGCCAACAATGTTGCTTCTGCGCCCCAGCCAAGTACGAAATTAAATGGGTTCATTCGAACCCTCTCTCACAGGCTTCGCAAGCAGCCGTTTCCTTCTATTCGTTTCCAAGTTGCTCTTTTGATTTTTCTTAAAAATTTTGTTAATTTATGTTTAACAAAATAACAATTATTTGAGAAAAAAATTTTTAAAACTAAAGTTAAGCAATCAAGAAAGTCAGTAGAAAGTCGCAAATCCTAATCCATAAAGAGTTTGGAATTGATTCAAAGATTAAAGTCTAGATGCATAAAGTATGAATCTAGCTCTTAAAGTTAAAATTATTAATCATTTTTTTCTATTAATTATTTGACATTAAAATTATTTCTTTCAATTGAATTTGTGGAGACTGTTGCCCTGAATCTTGTTTTTGAATTTGTTTCTTTTCCTTTCAATTATAAATGAACAAGCATAAGAAACTTAAGAATTGATGTTTAATCATGTGATTTGGCCGTCCGAAATTTTTTTTGTAATCGCTTATGATTCAATTTTAAATCTGAAAGATTATTGGGCACTATCTGAACATTACCGTCTCATGATGTGGGTTTTGGATTTCGAAATTTTTGCTTTAGTTGGCTAGTTTGAAGTGATTGACTGCTTTTTCCCATATTGTGTTGTTTAACTATTTGTTTAGTTTAGACATAAAGGTTTTTTCATTTTAGCAGTAGGAATCCATTGCTTTGCATTTTAATTATTAAATGTCCTTACATGTTCTTACAAGCAAATTGAGGTGATTTCGAGTCGTTAAGCTGCGTTATTTGTTTCTTTTGATTAACGATTGAATTACCCCAAATAAGAGTATGTGGTAATTGAGATGCTAAAAATTAAGATTTTATCTAAGAGTGGAAGGGAGAAATGAAATTAAAAAACATAAAATCACAAATAAGATGATAAGATTTTTGTAAATTAAATTTGTGTCTTTATATAATTAACAAAAATAAATATAAATTATGAAAATATTTTAAAATAAATTTCTAAATTTGTTCAT